ATTCCCTGTCCCGCTGCACCTCCTTCTTGTATGTAAAGTAGACGAAGACATGAATGATACTCTCAGGGGTCCTGCTTTACAGATCATCAGCACCCACTATGTGTGGGGATAGTAGTGACCATAAGGTATTACACAGACAGGAAAGAGCAGTTCATGCGGATGTGGCTAGTTGAATGTCTATCAGATGAGCTCTTATTTACCTATTTGCAAATGCCAAGATGTGCAAGGGAGGCTCAGAAATGGTCTAAACAGAATATTCTCTAAGTTCCTTTCTTCAACTGGTTGAGCACTGCTATAAATTTTCCACTAGCTAGCCTATGTTAGTGTGTCCAGAGATATAAGAATAACTTGTCTGAAATATTTCAGTCTGAGTTTGTCCACAATTCATTTTCATCCATTTGGAGAAACTCTTTTGATCTCATACCTTTTGGGAGATAGAAATGTCAGTTGATTCCTTCTGTTTTATTTTTCTCTCCTTCTAAATGAAAGTGTCTCCTGGGAAGAGGAGGAGATTGTGATCCTTCCATTGCCAAAAGTTATTTTTTGTTATTGGCTGCGTTCTGTATGATTGACAGGTTATTGGCAAAGAGCAACCAACAGTTAAGACTAATGATCATATCTATGACTCACACATTTCCTGCATTAAGAATTACCTTTGGCAGCAATTGTCTAATGCAAAACGTACAAGGTTCTTTTATATTAAAAAAAAAAAAGAAAAACTAAGAGTCCAAATATGCACACTTGAAAATCTGGCATGTTTATTCTTTTAGAAGTACTTACTCCAGGGATATAACAGATTCTTTGGTAAACTGCATTAAAAAAATCCCGAAATATGAATTGATCTGTAGGCAGCATGCGTTTTAAAACTTTCACTGTGTTGTATCCAAAAATAGGCAGATTACAGGACCAGTCTCTCAAAGTTCTGATGCTTATGAGGAAAGGAATATGTGGAGATGAGAGGAAACTCCTGAAGGCTGTACAACAAAGCTGGGTTTCTCAAACAGTCCCCTGACTCTCTCTCAATATTTTCTTTCTGTCTTCATCACAAATTCTTCATGAGTATAGCACTGGCAGCACTGATACAGTTGTTCCATTTGGGAGCTGGGTGGACATCAGTAACTTTGCTCTCTCATCTTGCTGATTTCCCCTCTCCCTCCCCCC